AGTGATGAGAAAATTATGCCTTCCTGGGACTTCTAAATACGAGTAGGCAGTTCGGCCAGAGAGCGCATACCAAGCAGATACTAAGGAAGCTTTGGAAGGCTTCTTATTGCATAAGTAGACCCTGGTTCAGGAAAGAGTACTAGCTTCTCAGCATCAATGCTCCGGCAGATCTTCTAGCTCTGGATTGTGCAAACTAGATTGTGCAAATCCAGTCGCAATCACGGAGCCTTGGCGTCTGCCGGTCCTCATGGTGCCCAGTTTTCAGATGCTGCCGCCATCTGGGTACACTTTAGGCTTGGGTTATCGAAAATAAACCTCAGAATGAGCTCATCTCTTTCCCCTCCTGAGTGAGCCTGGTGCCAGGTAACTAACATTTCCAGGACTCGATGGAAAAATGTCAAGGGAAAGAGAGCCAGGTGTATTTATGGCAGGAACACTGTGGGCGCTGTGCTTGGGCCCATGGGATTGTTAATTCCGTCAGGGCAGCAGAACTTTCTAGGCCTGCTGAGCAGCAGCTACAAGGCAGGGCTTGGAGAGCTGCAGGATTCAAAGGCCTCTGGTGCTATATAGAAGGAACTTTCGAGACTGACTCCTCCACCCACTCTGTAGATGAGGAAATCCAGGAGCCTCAAAAGGTCAGGTGCCTCGCCAAGTTCTTGCACTTCCCGCCACTGTAGTGAGGGCTAAATTCTCAGCTTGGTTTACAAGGTCCTTTAGTATCTAGCCCCAGTTTCATGACTGCCCACAACTCCCACACCTTCACTTAGCAGGACTCAATGACATAACTGTGCCAAAGAACCAGGTCTTTTTTCCAGATGGCGGTGTTGAGATAGAGACCAAACTGTCCTGGAACTCACTAGATAGCCACGGCTAGCCTGGAACTTTTAGTAATCCTCCTGCCTCAGCCTCTCAAGTGCTGGGATGACAGACATGCACCCCCATACTATGAACCATATTTTCTATCCATCCTCAGAACTCCAGTCATACTGAGCTGTAGTGCACCCAGATCTTTCCACCAACAGGCTTGATACGCGCTCTCCTGGAGCATGCTATCCACACCTACACACGCATAGTGCTATACTTGGCTAACTCCCCCAAAGCCTGTCTGTGTCAGTTCATCCCCACCCCAGCAGTCTGCACTAGCTGTTTCTACTCCTCACTCCCATTACACCCTGTACTTAAATCACCCTCTTACCTCACCTTCTGGGAAAACTGATTTCATGCGTCTCTTCCTCAGGTTGTCATAGAAACAGGATTCACAGTTGTGCTACTTACCACATTTTCAGGTCATAGTTCAGTGCCTAGAATTCAGTGGATGTTTAAAAGATACTAGGAGCCGGGCATTGGTGGTGCACGCCTTTAATCCCAGCACTGGGAGGCAGAAGTAGGAGGATCTCTGTGAGTTTGAGGCCAACTTGGTCTACGAGAGCTAGTTTCAAGATCAGGCTCCAAAACAACACAGAGAAACCCTGTCTTGAAAAACAAACAAAAATGATACTTGGAAGGATGGATGGGCGCATGTGTGGGTGAGTGGGATGGATGGATGGATGGACGGACGAACGGACAGACGGATGGACGGCTGGATGGACAGAGGATGGACGGACAGATGGACGGACGGATGGCTGGATGGACGGACAGACGGCTGGATGGACGGACGGACGGCTGGATGGACGGACGGACGGCTGGACGGACGGACAGACGGATGGCGAGCAGTAAGAGCGAGAACAACTGGCAAAAGACATGACGCTAGGTGAAAAGGTGACAAACCTACGATGTGAACTCCTTCAGACGACACTTTAGTGATTACTTGTATATGCTGAGCTATACAAAAACCCGAATGCAGCATCGCTTACTGCTCTCTAGCTTTGCTGTGACTTAGCTTCACCCACAGGACTCCAGTCCACTTGTGCTGAAGCCCAGTGAGACTGCAGGTGTGCCACGTACCTGACGGGGTCATGGCTGTCCTTGTTGTGCTGCGCCTACTTTGTCCTTCATTGCCATCCCCCATCCCCAGGCTGAGATAGCAGCCCTGCCAGGGCCTTTCACCGTAAGTGGTGAGGCACATTTACAGCGAAGTGTTCTCTCTGGTCCATGTGTTCTGGCTCTGCTGGCTGCCCTTGCTGGGCAGTGTTAGTTCTGGCTCATTGGTGTTTTCCTATGTGTAAGCAAAGGGAGCAGGGCAGCTTTAGCGAGTTTTTATGTGTGTTTCTGCAAATGGGTAGCACATGGACATATCAAAGGAGCCCAGAGCTGAAAGAGTGTTTGTTCCTGAGCTTGGGGCTCCCTCCTGTCTCCACCCTTCGCTACCCCTCTATTAAAAGAATTCCTCTTGATGTAGGGAGACATCTTTCCAGCCACACCTATATGCTAATGCCTCTGCCAACTATCCCTGACTAAGGAACAGTTGATGGCAATTCCTGGAATATTAGCAACACTAAGGTCTCTCGCCACAGCCGTTTTCCTGACAGAAGCCAAGACATGTGAAATCTGGTTGTTGTTCCAGCCATAATCATCCTCCTAGCATCCTTTCCCTAAATAATTTCCAGGGCCATACAAAGGAGGCTGGAATTGCCTTAGGGACCAGTTCAGTAACTGCGATCACATCAGTGCCGTTTTATCTGACCCTCCCCCATATGCATATTCAAGCTGCTACACGGATATGCATGCTAGATGGGCATGTGTGTGACTCTGCATACCAGAGGGAGGAGCCATGATGTCTATATGTCTTTAAAATTGCTGAGGAACACTACCCCACTATCTAGGCCCCCAAAGAGGAGATCACTTCAAGTTCTCTCTCCCACATGTATGTCTTCTGCGGTAAGGAAGCCTCTCCTTATGGATTCTCAACGTTGCTTGTGTAGCTTATAACTGTAGCTGAGCAATAAATACCCAATAGCACCTCATCACAGAGGGACAGATGGATGACATTTGTAGGCTGGGGTATAGTTCAGGAGTAGAACATTTGCCTAGCATATACAGTGCCCTGAATGTGATCCCCAGCACCCCACCAAAAAAAAATACATTTTTTTACTTTATAAAGAAATCTTGCATCATCATCATCCCCTTATGTGGTATGCTCAAAAACACAATTTTGGGTGCTGACAAGATGGGGGGACTGTTACCAAGTTAGCGCTGACCCCTCAGCCTTTCCCGTAACTGATGCTACCGGGCACACATTTGCCCCCACAACTTTCCCTTTCTGCATTGACTGCTTCTATGTGCTTTGGGTCTAGAAGGAAAATGGTTAAGGACCAATTTTCTAGGAACTGGGCAGGTTTTGTTATTCCTGGATCACACCAAATGCTGGTCATTTAAAATTGCTTTATTGGAGTATAATTTACATGCCATAAAATTCACTAGCTGTAAGGGAACAAGGTCAAGGATTTCTCGTAAATTCACATAGTGAAGTTGGAATCCCAGCATCCCAGAAGGCTCCTGGTGGTTGCATATGAATCATGCTGACTGGATGCCTAAGTACTGTTTCAATGAATAGCAATGCTGTTTAGAAATCCTTTCTGTTTTCCATTGTTTTATACCAAAGAAATAGGCCATAGACCATCTGTTTCATGACTTGTCAGTCTTCGTTATCAAGTCTGTGTATTGCCCATCTAAAATGAAGTACTTCCAGCTAGTAAGTATCGGAGACCATATGGGCTGCCAAGTACAAGGTTGCCATCTCTTAAGATATAACACACCAAAAGCGTGCTTCTTGCATTTAAAGGGAGACTTAAATACCTTGTCTTAATTCAAAAGTTATATAGCCAAACCCCCATTGTGTGCCAGGCAGTGTCCGAAATGATACAGAAATGAATAATAAATGACCCAAGGCTTCAAGGGTTCATGATTCCTAAATGTGGCAAAAATACAAACTAATAATATAGTATAATTCTATAATTGAGTCCACCGGAAAGTGTGGACATTAGAATAGCAGGATAAATAAATGTTGTCAATTCTACAATTTCTGTAGCATATAAGGAGTGACATTCTTGCACTGGAAACTGTATTCCCTGACCCATCTGAACTCTCCAATCCAAACACAGTCTCTCTTGAGGACTTTGGTGGAGACTATTATTCCTTACAAAGACATCTGAAACACTGTACGCAAGACCATCTCTGTAAAAGGACAGAGTTTTAGGCACAATGATCCCCATAGTGATGCCCTGTTTGACAACCGACATTTCAACACGGGCTTAACCAGGAAACAGGTACCTGGTCTGTGCTACGTATTTTGAAGTGTTCAGAAGGAAAGCTTTCATCCCTCTTTCAAGAGATAAGACCTTGAACACAAAGAACTAAAGCTGAGGTTCAAAGATTATAGGGTGGATGTCTAAATTAAGGGTGAGTCCTGCTAAGATAGCCAGGACAGTCAACGTTGTGGGCAATGGGACTTGTTTCCCTAAAGCCAGAGTGCTGAAGGCCCCACCCATGCTCTGCAGGCAGGGCACAAGGCTAAGACAGAATGCTGAGTGACACAAGTCAGATGCCATTGTCGGGTATGACCTAAAGTTAGTGCTCACATAGGCTCTCCCTGCTCATCTATTTATTTAACTGTATTAACTCAACTTCCCAATGTACAGGAAATAGCTGCACATGACCCTCTGGGTAGAGACGTGTGGTTACTAGTTCTATTGCTATGTTTATTCAATGTTAAGCCTTCTCCACTTGTGACAGGAAACCATGGCTCTTGATTTTCTAACGGTTTTTGGTGTGGTTATGAAATCACCATTCTCGGCAAGAAAATGGGTATAAAACACAAAAGGCAAAACAGCCCTCTGATACTAGCAGCTTCTTGGCTGCCTTTCAAAGTCCCCATCTTCCTTCCTTTCCCATGTATTTCAATTGGGTGTGACCCCATGCGTCTCTGATTCCCTCAGATTTTTCCCCATCTTCCTCTGCCTTCTTGCTGGAGGCATGGGTTAGAACCATGCATGTGCCCAGCAGCTGCTGAGGTGTTGTGACTGTTCCTGCCAGATCTAATGTCCTTTGGTTTTAAATATTAGGCTGGTCAGAGAGCAGAGACAGTCCTCATGCATGGTCATGGCCAGCACCAAAGACAAGCAATGCAAATGACATCAGCTCTGCACTGAAAGGTAACCGTCTTACCCCTCTGCCACGACAGCTGTCTTCTTCCCGCGGCCCTATTGCTCTTCCTGTATTTCTTTACTAGCTTGCATTTTGCGCATCTAGACCTCAAGTGCCGGGCTGTGGGATGCAGAGTTATGCATGATGCTGGAAATGTCATTCTGACTTTTTCCTGGCTCACTGTCCTCATTCCAATGAGTGTGCGTCCGATCTGTTTATCTCCGTGTGATCCTTGCGATGAGAAGCTCAAGACCAGTGGGGTTAGCTGACCTTAAAAATGCCATTGTTCACCACAAGGCATTGAGTGAGAGTGCCTCGGGGAGGGCGGGGTTTACTGGCTGTCAAACGAGGTCCTTTCAAGCTTGTGAGATCTGTTTTCTTTTGGGACAGGCCACTGAAGTGAGCATCTGCTGGACAGATCTCATGTGCATTCACAGTTCTATCTCTGTTCCTTTGGTTATCACCCCCTTTCTCTTTGACCATAGAGGAAACGTCCGCCCCATTATCATCAGAAAGTGTTCCTATGGTGTTCTAATAATTTGCATCTGGTTTTGCTCCAAGCCGGGACCTGGGGATCTGCGGATTGCCTTAAAGTGCAATCACCTGCCTTAGCTTCTAACTGCAAGGCTGTGATCACTCTCTGCGGACCTTCTCAGACCTTTGCGAGAGGTTAGGAGGAAGGGGAAGTAAGTGTGTAGCATATTTTCACTGGCGCTATCTTTATATCCTCTATCAGGAATTGAGATAAACTAATCTAACTACATCAGTCTTGCCCCATACAGTATCCTCATCTGACCTCCAACATGCTGACTTGAGATTCTCTTCAGTCCAGGGGTTGCCAGGGCTAACCACATAGAATGTGATCAAGGTTACCTGTAGCAACCACCTATTCAGAGAACTATTCTGGCTACTAGGCTTGCCATTACTAGCTATTCCTGTGCATCTCAAATCTTATGTCATAATTAGGATATACATCAATTCAGTCCTAACAAAGTAATGAACCTATTGGGTACTCTGATTAGAAATGGGGAGATGACCCTAAGGTATAAAGTTACTTCATTTAACTCTCTTAACAGTTCAGTGTCCTTTTGAAGAATCAAAGATGCTTTGTGTGCCTCTGATCCCATCCTACGCCTTCACCCTCTGCAGCCAGCTGGCAAGCACATTGCCAGCTGCTCCCTGCTGGAAGGGCACCCTATTAGAGAGACATGTATTCATGCTTCTGACACCTCCACCTGTGGCCGGGGTGGGGAAGCATGGACTACGGAGCCAGTGAAGTAGGTGCTCACATGGGATGATTTATGTGAGAGGGTCGCAGCCTGTTTCTAAATCGCTTGCATGAAACACTCTTTTGAAAATTCTCTCCTCATCTGGAAGACACTTCGGCTGTCTGACCATGGTATTTGGAAAGGTAGGGTGGCTGCTTTGGTGAAACGGCAGTAGAGTGAGGGGCTCCAGTGAGGCCAGATGAAGGAATTTCAAGCCTGCCAAGGGAAGGGAAGGTACTTCAAGGGCCCCTTTGCCTTTGACAGGAAAAGGTGAAAGGGGCAATGGCCATAATGGCAGAGTGACTTGGCATGGGTATGACCTCCTCTGGGCCTGTGCCTTTGAAGGGTGAAAAGAGAAACAGCAGATTGTTCCTGACCCAAGGGACTTGAAGGGATCCCTCCAGCAGACACCGGAAAGTACCTTGCTTCTTCAGCCATTCAGTGTGATTTCTGAAATAGCCATGCTGTTTCCTGGTTGAGGCAGAAAGACGTGTGTGTGGGGTTTTAAGCAGTTCTGTGAACTGAAGCAGGAGGTATGGCTACAGGTGATGCTTAGTGAATTTAGAGAGAACACAGCACCCTCCTTCTTCATGAACCCTCAAGAGAGTCAGCCAGTCAGGGGACATGGAATTCCTGAACGGTCACGGGATGCCTGAGCCCAGCATGGCAGAGGTGATCCTCGAGAAGGTGGTTTTATTCACGCTTCTTCTTCTTTCCTCAGAGCCTGCCAAGGCTTCCTCGGACCTGACTGCCTGGTTCAGCCTCTTTGCTGACCTCGACCCCTTATCAAATCCTGATGCTGTTGGGAAAACCGATAAAGAACACGAATTGCTCAATGCATGAGTATGAGTATGCAGCCTTCACCTGGGAGCCCTCGGCCGCTCCGCAGCACCTGTTCCAGGGCTTGCAGACATCTCAGTATGCTGTTTTAATATTTACGTGCCATTTTAATAAAACGAGAGGGTCAAGGCCCTGTTTCTATCCGCATAGTGATTTCCTCTTACTTGGTTTGCTGGTTCTCCGTGTGCATTGCACAACAGAGGAGTCACAGGAGCAGTTAGCAGGCCACTCCTTGCTCTTGCAGATGCCCCACCAGAACCATTGCTGCATCAGTATGCCGTGGTGAAATCCCAGTCTAACTTACACACCTGAATGTGGGCTAACATAATATGTCCTCGGGGCCACCAGGAGGCTGACAAAGGTTTGCGCTTGCTTGTGCCCTATCACCCTCAGAAGGGGCTTCAGGAAGAACCTTTCATCCCACCACACCACCTTCCGCTGACCTCTGGGTGAAGATCAGGACAAGCAAAGACACCCACAGTCTCCCAGCACACTTGACTGTGGCCACACGCGTCTTTCTGCTGTGTGGACCTTTCTGTGCTCCCTATTTGCACATCCTAATGTCTCCATCTTTGTAGCTAAACTCGAAAGCATGTATCCCAGTAGCCTCTTGTAGAATTTGTCAATAGAAAAATGCAAGCACTAAACAGAAAACATCATTCGACACAGCAAGTCAAAGTTGTGGATTCTGTGTGGAGACCAGTTGTGCTAAGAAAGGCACTGTGGATGGTGGGCTAGAGGGGGCAGGTGGGGCCTACAGGCAATTCTGAAGCCATTGAATAGACCCCGTGCATCCCCAAATATGGCGACCAGGTTACAAGGGCTGCACGGGATTTCTGTAGGACCAGAAAATGATGGTAACAACAGATTTACATGTGGGCACACAAACAGCTCAGATACTCTATCGGTATCACAGATCCTAGAGTTGGCACAGGTTGCCTGCCAAGTCAGGTCCCACACATTCCCTGAAGTTGCTGTACACCATGGCAATGCACTTAAGATCCTCTGTGAGAGGTAGAAGGAGCAGCAGCCCAGCAGAAGGTCCTCTGTGCTAGGCCAGGCCAGTGGCCTCTCCTGGGCCCTGTTGCCCGGTTCAGAAAAGGCTTTCTGGGCCATCTTCAGAAACATAGGAGCACTTCATGGAAGGGCTTGAGGGCTCTACAAAGCACTCTGAGGGCTGGAGACACAGACTCTTAGAGGTGCCTTCTTGGGATGGGAATGGGAATGGTCTGGGAGACAGCTGGGGCCTTGGCCCATGCAAGCTATCATTACTAGAATCTCCTCTAGCAGACTTTTCAGTGCTGCGTTAAAGCATTTTCAAGTTGTCACGACACAGAATCAGAAGCCACACTTCAGAGTTCTCTAAACATAGGCACGCTTGCCCTCCACCTCAGTCACCATCTAGGGACGCTAGAACAACCCTGCTCAGTCCTGTCCAGTCACGCCAGGAGGGTGCCCTACCTACCTGGTCAGGTCTGTTAAGCACATGCTCCTGCCATTAGATGCTGCCAGCCTAGACTCACTGTGGGAGCAATGGATTAATGATTGCCAACCAAGTTGTCCTGTGTGGAGTGAGGACTGAGGGTCTTGGTTTCACCCTGGGCTACATCTGTTTCAGCCATGAAACACCCCAGACGTCCCAGTGAGGAGGTGACTCTGGAGGGCCTGTCTGACTCCATCCAGGCAGTGGGAGGGAGGTGGAGTTCTTCTGTTGTGAATTGATTACTTTAAACAGTAAAGACTATCTAAGACCATCAGTGACGGAAGGACAGGGGATCAAAGTAGTAGTCTAAGCTTCGCCACAAGGAAAAGGAAAGGGTTGCTCATGGGAGTATTTTCTCCCTGAATTTTCTTGATGTGAAAAGGAAAGAAAAGAAAAAGACTCGGTCTCCTTTTCCCCTCTGCAATCCACTTGGGCATCCTCTTGGTTGCCTTGTCCGTGGCCTGTGCACTGCGACACTAACCCTGTCTCTGACATGAAGAAGACAAAGTGTATTCGCCATCTTTGCCAACAGTCTTGCTTCATCTCCATTGCATCGCAGGCAGCTAGCCGGAGCTACACAGTGACAGCGGAGCCTGAGACAAGGATAGGAAGCCTCTTCCTCGGCCATGCTCTGGTTTTCCTGCTGTTCCCGATGGTTTCAGCATGACCTTGTACCCCCTCCCTTTCCCCCAGTGAAGAGATAAAGAATGCACATGGGGAAGGAGGGGGCGGGAATGATTCTGTTTCTGCCTGCCTGCCTTCCCCAACTGGCACTGGCTCCAGATACGCATTGTGGATTCATTCCCCTCAAAATGGAATTTTAGAAATGTCAAGTTGATTCTGAGTTCTGGGTGAGTGAGGAAAGCACCCGTCAGCCTCGGAATTAGAAATCTCTGATTTAGAAAGGACGACACTTTTTTTCTTCATTGCTGGAAGGTTTTCCCTGAGAAAGTGTGTTCTGCTCGAAGCCAGCGCCCCTGGGTATGAAGGGGAGGCAAGCCCATTGTACTTTAGTTAATTCTTAAAGCCGGTGTGGGGCCAGGGCCGAGGGTCCTGAAGGTGCCCTGTGAGGCTGCCCAGGTACCAGATGACACCTACCAGGTCCCTCTTACCTTCTACAACGCTCCCCGCTCTGCAACTTCTGGAATCAGCTTGATTTCCCCTTTTAGGAGATGCTGCACCAAGACCCCACCCCAGAGCCCCTTTCTGGCAAGGGCTCATGACTAAATACTAACACTGTTTGATTTTGCCAATATGTCAGAGCTGCACCCTGCTTTGTGATCAACTAGTGTCCCCCATAAAGGCCACCATGAATCCCCTGCTTCTGGATTTGACCGTAAGCAGCTTCCTGTTCCTCACAGGCACCCTCAGCGCAACCTTGTTGGAACACAGATTCCAGCTTGGAGGCAAATCCAAATAACTGACCGTGGCTGCCAAGAATTCTGCATCGGGAAGCCTTCTAGTAAATGAGCAATGTTTATGATGGGTGTGGGGGAGCCAGCACCGCCTCAGACCTTGCCGGTCATGGAGCTTTTAAAGTTGACTGTTTTTTATCAAAAGGAACTAGAATTCTGGAACCTTCAGGGAGGGATGTGTGTGATAAGAACAACAAAGTGCAGAGCCTAGTCATTACCAAAACCCATCCCAACTCAAACTGACTTAAACATCAAACCTGTAAATCCGGCCTTCACAGAAGGTGGAGGCAGGAGGACCATGGATTCAAGGTCATCCTTGGCTAGGTCGTCAGTCTGACTACCCTAGACTAAAGGCGGTCCTGTCCCAATAAATTAATATTTTAAATGTATGCCAGTAGGCATATTGCTCAGGTGAGTTTCAAGACTACAAACTTCAGACATAGTTGGACCTAAAGGTTCATATTTGAACTCTTTCTTTCTCTCAGCTCTGAACCCCCATTTCTTCAATCCTCCAGGAGACGAAATGGCCACCAGTTTCTCTAGTGGAAGTTTTGGAATATAACATATGTGGGTCCTGTGTTCACTCTTGATTCACTGGGGTCAAAGGGTGGAAAACAGGCTGTTTGATAGGCTCCCTCCAGGGAAATTGGAATGTTATTCCTAGAAGAAGACAAAATGGAGGAAGCGTATACGAATGCACTAGAGATTTGCCCTGGTTTCTTTACTGAAATGACTTCAAGGAGACAGTTAACGCTGCTGGACCCTAATAGCCTCCTCAGGGACGGGGGTGAGGAGGCACAGCGTCAACATCTCAGACACTGGGAGTCGGGTAGACGACATAGAGCAGACTTGTTTATCTAACAGTGGGGGGAAATTATATACTCTCCCAGCACCCAGGTGTTCTAATGGCAATTGATAGTTGACATCACATAACCACCCCTCATTGGCTAGACCTCTGAGAGCATCAGGCAGACTCCAGGTTGGCTACTTTTAGCCTGGTATCCTCAACTTTCTACACTCAGAGAAGAATGAATGGCAACAGGGCCATTAGAGAAGCCGGCATCCAGAGTGACTGTTGAGGCTCCTCGCCTTCCTATTAGGCATTATGGAAGGGTCAGACACCCTATGGGTCCGACACACTTCTATCCAGATGAGGAAAGTAAGGACCAAGGAGCCACCAATAAAATACTCAAAGTCAGTGATATCCTGGGACTGGAACCCATGGGGCTGGACCCCAAGTCAGAGCTTCTTTTATATCCAAGTGTTTGCTGGATATATCAAGCTATAGGAAAGAATACAGAGACAGCCAAAGCTCCTGTAAGAACCAGTATTTACCCCCACACATACATTTCTTATTTACTTATCCGAAGCCAGTTATTAAATATAGCCTTTAAGGAAAGATTTAGGAAAGCAGTTGAGGGCAATAAACAAGAGTTTATCTGTAAAGCCAGAGACAAAATCTTCAGTGAAGTCGTCTCTTCCAGCTGTAGGTCATAGCCCTCTCTGAGGAAAGCAACAGCCCCTGTCCAGTGGGGTTACTACAGAGTAAGGACCTCCACTCCAGGACCCTTCTGAGGTGACCTCAGCTCATACCAGCCCAAACTGTGGGAACAGGCATTGCCAGGGCTCCCTCAGTTCATGCGATGATTTCCTAAAGCAAGGAAAAGGGGCTGTTCTTCCTCAGCCGCCTTTCAGCGAACCCACCAAGCTCTATTTCCTTTCCACACTGTTTATCAGCTCATTCCTAAATATCAAAGGAACGGAGGGGGGCGGTGCACCTGCAAAGTCTAATGAAGAGCTCGAGATACGGCCCCATCAGGAGGGATAGTGTACCAGGCGCAAAGCCTGGAGTTTGACCCGGAGTGCCTCAGTAAGTGGGCTTGGAGGGACAATCCCAAGTCAGGAGGTGGAGACAGAGGATCCAGCTCAAGCTCATCCCAGGTCATCTGGCTACAGGAGACGCTCTTCCCCCCTCCACCCCAGTATATCTATAGCTAACATTCTATATAAATTTATAAAATTATAAATAAATTTATAAAAATATAACTATATATAATTATATATATTATATATCTACTTTTTAAAAGAAAGTCTAATAAACAAGTGTTTTCTGATTTTTCTCAT